CATGAAATACGAAAATGTACCGACGGCTGCAAAGCGAGGGTTTTAGCACGTTGCAACAGGGCTTCGACGAGGTTGCTGCAGAATTCATGACGTTGTACGGGCTTGACAAGGTCAGCGTTCTCAAAGCATGGGTTCTTAGAATTATAGGTGCAAGTAATTACTCAGGATTTGCAACTTCCTGGGTTCATCTCCAAGCCAGGTTTGCAGAGTTGGGCAAGAACGCAACGAAATCTTGGCTTCCGTAGGGGGATGATATGTACTGGAACCAGCAGTGTGAGAAACATCCGTAATCATACATAGAGACTTAGATACTGTACTGAGTATTGTATGTTGTGGTTTCGACTTGGACACAAAACCATGTGAATTCACGGCTGTTTATATGCGTTGGTCCAGATTCAAGGATATCAAGTTATAAACTTTGCCTGGGTTTATAAACTTTCGGCGGGTTTCAAAACCAGTTGCTGGTTCGACAATAGTGCAGCAGTGCAGAAAATGCAGGGGGGGATACTAAGCAGCCCGGCGAAACATATTGCATGGACTGACAGGATTAAGGCTCTTCTGCATCAATGCCTAACGTCCTACTGCATCCGCAACACCGGCACCGGTATCAAGGCTAGCCTGATCCGCTTGGCCTGTCGAAGGGCTACAAACGGGTTACTACAAGGGGCTACCATAAGGGCTACTTTTTGGGTAGTTTCCTAAATTAGGGTCCCTTCTTAAGTCCCCTATATAGTTATAAAAAGGACCCCAAGAGGGACCCTGATTTAGAGAGGGTAACTACATAAGAAGCACCCACCTTCCCCCGTGGATGCTAAACCCTAAACCCTGATCCCTAAACCCCCAAGCCTAAACCCTAAACCCTAAACCCCGAAACCCCAAACCCCTGAACCCTAAACCCCGAAACCCTAAACCCTAAAACCCGAAACAACGAAGTCCCCGCAGTGGCTCCGGCCTCCAGGCCCTCCACGCTCTGCCCGGCCACATCTGCAACACGCCAGCCAGGCCGGATGCCAGCCTTCAGAGGCAAAACTACGCAAGAACTTAGGGTTTAGGGTTTAGGGTTTGGGGTTTAGGGTTTAGGGTTTGAGGTTTAGGGTTTAGGGTTAGGGGTTTAGGGTTTAACGGGTAAACTTAGCTGGGCTTATTGTAAGGTTGAAGCTAGGATCCATTGAGTCAGAGCAGGCAATGGAAGGCTTTTTCAGCCTTGTGCAGAGGTGCAGAGTCAGATCCAGACTCTTTGCCAGTGAATGGGGACACGGAGCGGCCAATGATCGCAGGCTTAAGCCGTCCGGAAATGAGGTAAGGTGCAAACTTTTAGGGTCTTTGCTGACTCTGATATGTTGAGGGGCACCCCACGACGAAGCTGCAACTGCCAGCACCGCGCCGAGACAAGAGTACAAGCAAGGCCATGTGGAAGCCACGCTGTGCGGCTTTGCTCTACTTCCACTAGCATCTGTCAGGGCTCCCTGATATCATTAGGGTTTAGGGTTTAGGGATGCACATCTTGATTTGGCTTTGGTATGTGAAGGCCGTGTCAGGTACTGCCAAGCCTGGCCCGGCCTTGATGGCTGGCTTCCCTTCTGACGTCTTCAACACGACGTAGCCTGTGCCTGCGCCGGGGGAGGGGGCCTCGAGTTCGGAGCCTTCACTAACCAGATAAACTAGAGAGCCGCCGTTGCTACTGTGATTAACGAGTTCGGGCATCCCGTAACCACGTCTGTTTAGATTCAGCTGAAGGGCTCCTCAGAGACTGAGCAGCTTCGGCAAATTCAGAAACAAGTGCTTGAAGGCAGCATCATACAAGGGGAAGTATTCGGTCGACGCCCGTCTGCAGCATGCAGCGCACGGGTAGTCGTCCCCGTTCCCAGCATGCAATTTCTGTTTGTGCAGCTTGTACTTCCGAGGAAAAGATGTACTGCGCATGGCACATCTGTAGCTTTCAGGGTGCCGGAAATTTTAGGAAGGCTGCGAAACGATATACTCAATGTACTCGTCAGCCGGTCACCAACCCATCATGGCTGGCAAGGCGGCAAGTAGTATGTTGAAATCAGGCCACCACCCTTGCAGCAGCTGCATGAACCCTGAACATGTCCTTTCCTAATCCTGCACTGCACTCGAAAACTTTACGACGATTAGGCCTTTGCTCGCCGGGGTCATGCCAAAGGGGCGACTCGCTAGTGTCACCTGCACGGAAACGCTTTGGATGGGCGATTCCCGGTTTAGATTCAGGGATTGGGCACAGAGTTTGAGGACCTTCCTGCCACATGACTTGCCACCAAAGAACGCCGCTGTTGGTACTGCCATACTTTCACACTGCCATGTGCCCGCCGTTGCTTGCAGTGGTCTCTAAACTGTCAGGGTTGAGGCCTCAACAACGAAATCGTGAAAGCCCAAAGCCCGCCGAACCCCGAAGCACGAAGAAACCTGAGCAACACTTGGCACTTGTTTGGGGCCCTGTTCTGCTCTAGGTCTTGTTCATCCTCATCAAACCTTGAAAAAAAACTTAAACCCTAAACCCTATAACCTACACCCCAGTCCCTGAAACCCTAAACTCTAAACCCTAAACCCTGAAAAATAACCTGAACCCCTAAAGCCCTAAAACCCTAAACCCTAAACCGGGCCTCTACTCGCGGAGGCGCTTCGAGCTCCGTCGCGGCGATCGCCTGCTCTCGCTCCTGGGGCTTGGAGTTTCGGGGACCGGGGTTTAGGGTTAGGGGCTTAGGGTTTAGGGTGTAGAGCACTTGGGTTTAGGCTTTAGGGCTTTCGGCTTTAGGGTTTAGGATCTTGGTTTGTGGATGGGGGTCTTCGGGTTTGGGGTTTACTTTGTGTGGCCTTGGGGCTGAGGTTGTGGTTTCCCAAAAGCAGGGCTCCAGAAAGGATCTGCAACTTTCCCCGGCCCTCAGAATCCCAAACCTCCAGCCCCACGTTGAAACACGCTCTCACAGGAGTTTTCGTGAGAAGATTGTATGGCTAATCTGTAAACGCAAGTTGGGTCGGTGGGTGGGTGGTAGGCAGGTAGGTAGGTAGGCAAGCAGGCAGGCAGGCAGGCAGGCAGGCAGGCAGGCAGGTGGGTGGGTAGGTAGGTAGGTAGGTAGGTAGGCAGGCAGGTCGGTGGGTAGGTAGGTAGGTAGGTAGGTAGGTGGGTAGGTAGGTAGGTAGGTAGGTAGCTAGGCCGGCAGGCAAGCAGGCAGGCAGGAAGGTAGGTGGGCAGATGGGTGAGGTGGGCAGGTGGGCAGGTGGGTAGGTGGGTAGGTGGGTAGGTGGGTGGTGGGTAGGTGGCTGGTGGGTGGTGGGTAGGTGGGTGTGGGTAAAGTTTGGAGGTCTGACAAGTTTCGGTTCGCGGTCGGTTCATCCTGTGCATGGCAACAACATCCTTTAGGCTCTCCTCTGTGCTAAAACCCTGTGGGCCTCTTTGAGGCCTTGAAGGTCCCGGGAAAGTGACCGATGCTCGGTCTCCCGCTCGCTGAGCTCCTGGTGAATTCCACGGCTTCACAGAGGTCTGTAGAGAGCACCGTGCGTGACAGCTTGGCCTCAGACCTGGAGGAGGTCCACGCACCTGTCGGCTTCGCTGCAGAGCTGGGCCTGGCCGTCACAAGTCCCACAAGGTCCCGCCATGCCCTGCCCACAAAAGTTCCGTTCCGCCTTGGCATCTGCCACTTTGTGGGCCATGGCCATTTGGGCCTACGAAGCAATGAATGCGCTTGTTAACGAGTTCCCGTCCCGCCAACTCCGGGTGCCTTCTGAGCTTCAAGGAATCTGGTCGAGGACCGCTCCAGCTCGCGGTGCAGCTCCCTTGCCTTCGGGCAAACAGCAAAAAGCAGGCGTCCCGGTCGGCGATCGGCCGCAGGCCTCTGCTCTCAAGGGCTCAATGACCTGCGGATCATTGCCCGCAATCCTGGGCTCAATCATGCCAGCGGCGATGGAAAACATGCAATATCGTGTGAGATCATGATAACAACAAGATCTGTCATGCATCATTGGCAGGACAACCCTCTGTGAAAGTTGGTTGCATGACACACAGGCCCGTATCACATCTCCTGCAGAACAAGAGCTGTGCTTCGAGACCAGACTCAAACCAGATGCGTGGGGTTTCTTCTGGTGCTGTAAGGTTTAGGCGGTTTAGGCTTTCGGACTTGCCACTTCCATCCTCGGACACTCTGGACAACTCTGTCCATACTATCCCGGCTTATACGTGAGGCTACGCTAGCCCCTGAATAAGATTTGGGAGGGCATGCGATGGAAGAGGGGGGCGGATGCCTGCGCTCCGCAACGCCTGTATTCAACCCCAGAAACAACAAATGCTGCAAGCTGCTGTACATCGCTGAAGCGGCGCTGATCAGCTGCTTGGCTCAAACGTCGGACTAGCTCCTGGTTTGTCAGAACATTCGGCATTGCAATCAATCTCACATGACCCAAGGGTGAAAGTCTGTCAACTACAGTAAGGATTGCACGAAGGGATTCTCGTCGGCTTCAATTTGCTTCTGCTTCTTCTCTGCCGCGCCTGGCATGAGGGGTTGGGTGCATCCTGGCATTGTTTAGCTTGCTACACATCGAAGGAGGACTCGAACGTCTGCTTCGTCATGAATCGGCAAAAACTGGCTGAATCCGGCTCATGATTCCTCACCCAACATCCCGGGCTTCCGAATCAAGTCTTGTGACTATCTCCCACCTTGAGATGTTTCCATAAGCTGCCTCATCACAACGTAATTGCCAACTACAAGACTGCAGGCATTGGAAACTGCACTCATTGGTTACAGGTTAGGGCATAATGTGGTGCTGAACGGCCTTCATGATCCTTCATGGCACACGCTAGGTCTGGCAATATCGCCTAAAGCCAAGCTGCTGGATAGTACGCGCCAGCTCGGCCTGGCAGCTGCCAGCATGCATGCGCTCAGCCTAGGCTACAAGCAGTTACAGCAGCTGCCTGTATGGACTGATCCAGGCCCACAATGATTTGTATGGCCTCTTCCTTGGCAGCTGCCTCCAGGATGGTCAGAGAGCAGACAGCCATTCACTCATGCTACAAGCAGCAGCAGCAGCAGCAGCAGCAGTAGCCGTGTCAGTGTCAGTGCCAGTACAGTAGCAGTGCCAACAGTACTTCGAGGAGGATCGGCAGCAGCTGCTGCGGTTTTGGCAACAGCAGCTACTAGTACTGCTGCTGTTGTCGTTATCCCTGATTTCTGGTCTGATTGTCATCTTTGGCAACATACTTGTTCGTGGCGTTTGGTGCGCATCGCTCAGAGAAGTTAGAAGTTGATGAGTCCTTTAGGGGGCTTAGGCTTCGCGAAGTTTCAAGCCAGCCTGACGAGGTTCTCCGTAAATAGTTTGTACACTAGCTCTCAAATTATCCCACCACCTCCCCAAGAACTCCACCGGTTACTTAGGGCTAGCGAGAGAGAGAGACGCACTGCAGAACCGCGCACTCGCTAGCATCGGACTCTCTTTTTCCAAGGTGTGGA